TGTCACTGGTGCTTAACATGGTATTTGAATTTTGCATCCTTCAAAAAGTTGCCTTTTAGCAATAATCTCACTCTTTTTCGTGGCTACACTCACCGTCATCACTGTCAGCCAGGATGGTGATCTTGGCTGTTGGGTAGTTAGCGCCCACTCGCCCGCCCATGGGCATGCTGAGGCTGACGTTGAAGCTCTCTTCCTCCTCGTACAGGGAGTCATCGATGATGATGATGCGACACATTTTCTCACGTTCGTCCTTATCGAAGCGCAGGACACTGTTGTGGTCCTCCGGCCTAGTGATGTAATCAGAGTAGGACAGGACCGTGCTGGGTATGGTACCGGAGGCCGTGGCTGAGGATGAAAGGAAACAGGAAAGAATTGTAGTTGAATGTCTTCCTTCACAGAACATCGAGGAAACAAAGAAGTCAACAACAAACAACCTGAGGGGAAACGTTAGTGTTTGATGTTTTTTCTGCCTATTGTTATGAGGCTGACGACATGTAAAGACTTATGACTACAAACATGATTATCTCACCTTGCTGTGTGTAACAAACAACCATGAGTTCCTGGCTGGCGTCCCCGGAACGCCGTACAGGCACCAGCAGTTCTCCGATGTCCTCCTCAATCTTGAACTCTGCCTGAGGAATGAACACTGTCGACTCTGTTTGAAGACAGAAATGTGATAAAAGATTCTCAGGTCTATTCATGTCTTTTCATTTTTTGGGCCAATTATTTTATAATTTAATTTTATATATAAATTTCAGCGGTACCATCTCCGGGATCTACAATCTCCACCGTTGCGAAATTTGGAAACTCCAGCACCGCCATGACCGGGTCTGATAGCTGTATCTCAAAGGTTTCCGAGGTCTCGAACTCCTGATCCGTGAAAATCTTAACCCTCCATGTGGCCGTGGTCTGACCGGGGTTGAACTGTACCTGTTTCTGGGATTTACCACGGAAGTCCTTGTCCTTCTCAGCTGTGACGTCCTTGGTGGCAATACCTGAAGATAATCGAGGGACATTGATTTGAGACGGTTACCAACAGCTGGGGACACCACATAATAATAATAATAA